CTTTGGGTTTGCAGAAGCGGAGCCCCCCACCCCCCCACCCCGGAGCCAAAAGCCGAGCCGCTGCAGCCGCAGCCGCAGGTGGTGGGGAAGGCCGGCCTGGAAGGGCTGCTGCTCCTTCAGGTCGGGGTCAGCACGGAGCAGGCGGCGGGCCGGGCCTTGGCCGGCATGCGGGGCCGACTTCACAGTGGGGCCGGGCTCTTGCGCCCTGGCCCAGGCTGCGGACCGTGATGCACTTGGGGCCACAAGGACGGTAGGGGCGGAAGGGGGCCTGGGCTTCTGTCTTCCTCCTTCTCCTCCCTGCCCGCCGTCCACAGGAGAGCTCTTCAGGCTAGCTCATCTGCAGGCTGCCTTTCTTGGGGTCTTCAGGAAATAAGCCCCCTCCCCCTTTTCGGACTTTGTCCAATTCACCTTTGCTATCTCAACATTTTCAACTCTGAAAACCAAAGGGTTGGAACCCTTGTGTGCAAATGTCAGGTACGTTTGCAGCCGGGTGCCCCCTCCCCACAAAAAATGGTGGGTTCCATACAGGTATACACTTTTTCTTTTTTTTTGAAACAAACTGAACAGTGTTTGGTCTGGAATGTGTTTAAGGAAAAGGCAAACTCTGCCGAGGGAGGGGGGACAGAACGCGGAATAGTACTGGTTCAGAAGAACATGCAAAGGTTTCGTGCATCGGTTGAATCAGAGGGCCTTCGTTTCATTTGCCAGAAGTGAGCGTGTGACCCTGGGAAAGAGTACATCTTAGTTCTGCTTATGAAATGGGAGGACCTGCCCTTTGCTGGCCCTTGCTTTCCTTTTGCACAGCCAAAGGAAACCCTGGGAGTCACACAGAGGAGGGGGTGTTGCTGGCTGTAACACAGAGGCAGTCACCCTAGCTCTCCTGTCTCCAGCTCTGGGGCCATGGTTCCTGCCTGGCTTCTCCAGTGCAAGGAAGCAACCCTACCTAAAGCTCTGGGTGGGCCGCAGAGCCCTGGTGTCCAGAGCCTTAACATGCTGAGTCATCCCCACTGGATATAGTCTTTTCTTTCTGTTGAAAATTACTCATAGAATGTCAAATCCCAATGGGTAAATCAGATGAAGCTGTCACTCCTCGAGAGAGAGATGGTCAACCCCCTTTCAGGAGGGGTCAGTTGGGCTCCCTCCCCTTTGTCCCTGGTGTTCTTGACCTTTGTTCTAAAGGGGAGTTCCCCTCTCCCACCCACAACCCATCCAGGATAGGCTGGACACCAAGGTAGGTAAATGAACAGGATGAGGTCAGTGCTGGGCAGGTAAATGAGTTTGAGGGTCATATGCCAAGTCCCTGCCATCAGATGGCCAATGCTTCCTAAGTGCCAGAGTCTTGCCCATTGAGCCAAAGCCATCTTGCTTTGCCCCACGGTGGACTACTGAGTTCCTTGGACATTGTGCTGACAGCTAGTTGGAGAGTGGGACCCTCTCAAAGGAGATAAGCTCTTGTGTGGGGATATGAAACTGCTCCCTGCTTGTGAGGTGGGATTTTAGAAGTGACCAGAATCATTGCCATAGTCAACAACACTAAGCCACACATGCTTTTTGGTTTTTTGTTTGTTTGTTCATTTGTTTTTTGGTATGCTTTCTACATGGCTCTTATCTTTAAAAAGGAGACATGAAGGGGAACATTATCCTGCTGTTCTCTTACGGGGTCAGAGGCAGTAGGAGATGGTAAGCCCTGCTGCCACAATGGCCATGCGCTGTCCTGGACTAGTTGTCAATCTATCTGGGCACCTTCTTCTTTTCCCAAGGGCTTTAAGTGGCCCTGTGTGCTCCCTGTAGGCATTCCCTGCCCTCTCAGATCCAGCTGCCTTTACCCCATCTCAACCCAATACCCCAGGCCGCAGTGTACTCGCCGAGGGAAAGCAGTGAGCAGTCCAGACCCCAGGGTACCCTGCTTAAGAGCAGAAAGCAGCTGGTCATGTGGGGGCTCCGTGTGGGTGAGCACTCACTGCTCATTTCAGACCAGTGATGGCTTTGCCTATTGCCTCACTGATGAGATGAAAAGTGGGGAAGAGGAGGAGGGACAGACAGGGCAGCTGAGAGAAAGACCACTCAAGGATAGTTCAAAATGTCATATTCAAATGAAAAAAAATAATCCACTAGCTCTGAGAAGCTGAGGAGACCAATGGTTGGGGGAGGGGCTGGGGTTGAAAGGAAGCCTGTGATGGAGCTGGTGGCCATCTGTTAGCCTCGGCCACATGCTGGCTTCCACAGTGAGTGGAAGCTGTGGGCACGTATGAAAGGCTCAGTTACGACTGGTGGGACCTGACTTCAGCGAGGGTCCTGGGATTTAGCCACCCCACTCGGCAGGTCTTAACAAAAGGCACATTCTGGGTTTATTTTCCTCTCTTCCTAAAACGATAGGAAATAACCTAAGTCCAGTGGCACTGAGACAGAATGGATTTGCCTGATGTCAAGTTCAACAGAGTTGGCTTTTGAGCTAAAACCAGTCCCTACACATCACACTGCGTTGTTGACACATTCCAGGCCAAGTGCAGCCACAGGCTCATCTGAACCACAAAGAGGACGCTGGCCACAGGGCCTCATCTCCTGCCTGTTCTGCACTTCTTGGTGAGACATACCTTCAAACTAATTGAATAGAAGGTACACCCCAAATATCAGCTCTAGGAAATAATCTAATCACCCATGAGAGAATTTGCCTTCAGAAGTTGCCCTCCAAATGCAACTGACTGCACCTAGTACAAGGTGCAAAGAACTGATAGCCAGTCAGGCACACATCACAGGTACCAGATTTGGGCACATTATCACCCCGTTACATCTAATTCCTTGTTTTCTTGTACTGTAGAAACAAGAATGTTCCATTATACTTGTTCGTAAGCAACACCCTTAATAAAGCCCCTGGAGAGAGACCACAGTTTTCTGATACTCTGTAATATTCATGCCATTTTCCTTCTGCGGGCATGGCATTGACACTTATCCAACTCACACAACACCTGCTTCTCAACTCGGTCTGTGGTCATTTTATAGACTTTTTTAGTTTTTTTTTTTTATTAATCGTGAAGAGCGACGGCCTGATTTTCACTCTGGATGCATGTGTGGCAGATGCCAAGTGGGATTCCTGCCAAGGGGCTGGGGGCATATGATGCATGTTGGGAACAGGGTAGACCAGCTGTCTGTCTTCCTGTCTGCTCTTATACGTACCTGCACTGCCATACTAATGGA